AATAGACTTCAGCTTTTCTACCACTGCAGCAGCAACCAGATTTAAATAAAATGCTCCATTTTCAAAATAAAAGCATTTTAAGATGCATCATCACTTTCGTAGTTCTTCTGTTCTCCACGAGTGCCAACTTTGATTTGCCAATTAGTACCTTGATATTCCACAGCTTATGAAATCGACAAAACTTTTGTAGATGCCGTTCTTGAATATCAAACACAAACACACTCCACATTTTGCAGAATTTGCACCGAACCACTTACCTTCAGATGTATTTTTCAATAACGTATCAAATAAACACAGTTATTTTCACAATTTCACTGAAAAATCACATAAAATTGAATTTATTTTATTTTAAACACGATCACCTACTTCTTTCTCAGACCATAACAAAGGATTACATAAGCCGACGTTGAAAGGGTTCCTCGCGCGTGATTCGATGAATGCCGCTAGTCGAAGTTTATCGTGAATCATTGAATGAACACACCGATAAAACGCAAACTTTGACAGATGTTTATGTTCACTAGTGAATTTATTAGAAAAAAACACCTAAATTTTATAAAAATATCCATATTTTAAACATCATGGACAGTCTATTTGAACTTATTATGCATATCTATCTATTGAAAACCTTTTTAAATAACCAAAGTATATTATTTACTCCGCACTAATGCATGCGAATGAACATTATTCAGTTCACGGTACATTCGAAATTGTATCTACCCCTTTCTGGCACACGTGTATTTACTTAAATTTCTCGTATCTTCTTGCTCTAAAAGCCGGCTACCCCGCGTGGAGAACTGTTTCGTTTCCATCGTTCCTACTGTTCACCGTTCAGCATTCATTTTTCTGTCAAAATGCGTGAATAAGAAAATAAGAAAACCATTTTCTCCAAGCCGTGTCGTGTCGCGTTAGGAGTGCCGCTTTTCTTTAGCGTTGATTTTACATTTTTATATTCCGGAAAAATTGCTATTAAAGTTCGAATATCAAACCTCTACCGGATATTGCAGTATATTCAAGTGTTGCTTGCAGTAGAAAAGTATTTTTGGTGCGATTTACGCGAGCCAAAAAAAAAGTCGCTTTTGGGTGAAAATTCAAAATGGCCTTCAACCAGAAAAACCCTCCATGGCAGCGTAATACCGGACAAAATATCGCGGGTATGCAAACGATTGTGAGTTTTCCCCAGGCGCAGCCGGTGTTCAATCAGAATATGGGTATGTTTTAATATAGGTGTTACTGGAATTATGACTACATTAAATGTATGTTTTGTTTGTAGGGCTTCAGCAGCAGCAAAGTATGTCGATGTTACCGCAAATGGGCCTGCAACAGCAGCAACAACTCTATTCCCAAGCGGTTCAATATCCGACGTCCCGTGCGATTAATACGATTGCTTTCCAAAACCAGCCGCAAGCTCAACCGTCACCTCAAGTTAGCCAAGGTTCCTCGAAATTCAACCCGAACCAACGCGTCTTCAGCGGAACCGGTCACGTTACGAAGGTTCAGAACGATTTCGGTTTCATCGACGAGGAGGTGTTCTTCCACAAGAACGTTTGCAAAGGAAACTTCCCAAAGGTCGGTGACCGTGTACTGGTGGAGGCGGCATACAATCAGAATATGCCATTCAAGTGGAACGCAACCAGGGTACAGGTGCTGCAATCGGCAGGATCGGGCGCGGTTAATAGTAGCAGCAGCTCTTCCAGGCATGTATCCAACTACGGTTCCAGCCAGACGTCTAACGCTGATCGTTCCGGACGGAGCAGATACTCTCCTAGGAAATCACCGGATCGCCATGGTCACCGTACAACCAATCGTGATTCGCGTCAACGTGATGCAGATGTAATAAGAAGCTTTCTACCTACTTGATTAAATGCAACTAAGCGTATTTTATTTATTTTTTCCAGGATGAAGACCGTCGTCGGCGTCGCGACGATAGAGACGGTGACCGGCACCGTGAGAAGCGTGACCGTAGCCCTGAACGAGATCGTCGCGAACGCGATAGAAGCCCTGTTCGGAAGATGTCCCCAAAACGCAGGAAGGTTCGTCCAATTCCTCGTTATATGGTTCAAATGCCGAAGCAACTATTGACCCTGTAAGTACAACGCTTAATATTGCACATGATTGTATTGAATATTAGCTAATTACATATTAATCGATACAGCAAAAACGCTGATATTCTTGAAATCCGTCGACGTTACCATACTTTATACATCCCGTCGGACTTTTTCACATCCGAGATTCGTTGGGTGGGCGCCTTCCCGCCGAATGCACCGTTCTCTATTCGCAAACCGTGTGCGTTCCATGTGATGCACAAGGAAGTAGAGCCGTTGCACGCCAACGATGTGAATTTGGAACCGGCTGATGCTGACTATCTCTACAGCGCAAAGGTGATGCTGATGAGCACTCCTCCGTTGGCAGATTTCTATCAGAAATGTTTCACAACCACGGAAGATCGAGATCGCCACGACGAAGACCCGGATCATGTCCATCCGACCCGTTTGATCAATTTCCTGGTGGGCATCCGTGGCAAAAATGAAACAATGGCCATCGGAGGACCGTGGTCGCCATCTTTGGACGGAGAGAACCCTCACTCCAATCCGAACGTGCTGATTAAGACCGCCATCCGCACGTGCAAGGGACTGACCGGAATTGATCTCTCCAACTGCACTCGCTGGTAAGTGTTAGTGTTAGTTTCGAAGGCAAGCAAACTCGTATTAAGTTGAAGGTTTTCTTCTATTCGTTTTTCTTTATCATGGGGGCGTGCTTTTGGACGAATGTTGAAGCATTGGGCCTAGCTTTGGTTTGAAAAATTTCAATCATCGGCCCTTCTACGTCACTAGGCGTATCAATGAAATGAAATAAATGAATGGTTGGCCGTTTTAGCGTGCGGGCCTATTAAGGAATCGAAAAATTTCGTTGATCGGCCGTTTCGAAAATCGAGTTATTTTTAATGATTTTTCTCGAATATGCGGAACTTTCCTTTCCTACACGATTAGTGGCTATCAAGCAGTGCTAAAGAATGGTATAGGCCCATTTCATGTTACTCAATCTTTTGTAAACAAGACAACTTTGCTAGGGCCTACGTACGAACCAAAGTACGCCCACGCAAACCAACAACACCATCTAGTAGGGGAGAATTTTCCCTACCCGATGATGTTGGTTTGCGCAGGCGTGTGTTGTTTACAAACAATGATGGGCCCTTTCAAATTTTACGCGAATAATCTGTAAAAGATACCTATTATAGCAAAGTTGAAATCTCGCGTAACATTTGAAAAGGGCCTATGTCCAAAATGTAAACAATCCAGAAAATGAATTGTAAATTTTTCCGCCAGTATTTAATTCCTATATAAATAAATTGAAGTATTTTAGGCATTTATATTGTTCACCATAACAATAGTAACTATATCTCAGTACACAACATCCAAAACATGCGAAAAGTTTTCAAAAATACATGAAAATCGATAAAAAATTAATATCACAGTAATAAGCCTTTTTGTGAATCTTTAAATGGTTAGGCCCTTTTTGTTAAGCCGTTGTGCTTGTCATCATAAATTGTAGGCCCTTTGCTAAGCCTTTTCTTAACGTCAAATAAATCATCGGCCCTGCCTCAAGCAGTAGGGCCTAGCTTTGATTTGAAATTTTTCAATCATCGGCCCTTCTATGTCGCTAGGCTTATGAATGGAACCTCATCGAACGAAAAAAAATATATGTTAGGCCCGAGGTTAGGCCGTTTTAGCATGAATGATTGGAAAAATTTCGTGGATCGGCCGTTTTTAAAATCAAGTTATTTTTAATGATTTTTATCGATAATGCGGAACATTCCTATACGACTGGTAGCTAATGACCAGTGCTACAGAATGGTTTCAAAAATCGGTTTGTTTACATTTTGATCATAGGCCCTATTCAAATGTTACGCGAGAAATTCCTTTAAAGAGTTTAATGTTCAGTTTAATATTATTTTTCAATTTTATATGTTACTTGCCCTGTGGCCGTGATGTTGAAAGAGTTTACTGTGTTTGGAATCGAACATTTTTTAGTCTTGTTCATATTGACGGCAAAATGTGTCGTATATCATTCATGATTTTCGAACTTATAGAGGTAATCCTCCTCAACTCTGAGACGCTAATCACCGAAACTTGATAATCCGGATCCCTCCTATCGGTACACGAACTAGTCTTTATTTCTTATTCACGACACGTCATTGACGATTACAGCATTACTAGTGCACTCTGGTTGTCTTCGTAGATAAGAGGATTATGTTGTCCTTCACAGAGATGCCACAGTACCTGGTTTCAGAGAGCGTCCCGAATTTCGCCTCTGCTGTTGAAATGGACAGGCCATGTGAACGGCTTCATGGCGAATGATTTTCTAATTGGAGTTCGAAAGTTACAGATGGACCGCGGTGTTGCTATTGACGTGCCATTGACAGTTGGAAGCAACATGCAACCTCCCACATAATATTCTACTCCATGCTTTCTTTCAAGCAGCTATCTGATATTTATTTTCAAATTTCAAGCGCACTATTAACGCTCCAAATTAAAATCAAAATTGGCGTGCATTTATAGCTGAAAGCTTGAAAAATATGTAGGAATATAGAAATTCATTCCGCCACGTTACCAAATGACTTGAAACATTCAGTAATGATTCTTTAGTCCATGTGCGTAAATTTTATGACGGTTTAAGAGATTTGTTATCCCGAGTTATAGTCGAGTGAACAAATAGCTCTAAAAAAAGTTTTTGGTGTTCCCGAAGTTCCTAGAAATCGGGAAGTTACAAAAGTTTCAGTTCCTAAAGTTACTGTAGATTTTTAAGGCGCCCGAAGATCTAGAAGTGTCATGAATTTCAGGACATCCTGAAAATCCCTAAAAGTGTCCAATGATATTTACTCTTAAGTTTCGTGCTCTGTTATATTGCTATATGCTCGTAATTCTGATTTATTTGGATTTGCGATCTGAATATAAAGTCAGGGAATTTCCGTTTTACATGCATGTAAATTTCATATTTATTCTGTTACACTAAATAATTAAACACATAGTGACACTCATTTTTACGAATTGAAACCTGTGTGGGGATGTTCAGCCGAAAACCATTTGCCGAAATGTATTAAACTGAATGGTTGATTAGGTTTATTTTTTGAAAGTTTAAGTATGAACTAAGACATAATCAAGAAATCATGAACATGACAAATTTAAGATTAAATCAAAATCAAGATTCTGTAAAGTCTAGAAAAGTTTTCATGATTTCGGCATTAGGAATTCCAGGCATCATGAGCAAAATCTCGGAATTACATCAATTCTAAAAACATCAGGGGTTCGAAAAACATTAGTTGTTTTGAAAATTGAGGATGTTCCTTGGTTTGATTGATGTCAAGGTTTAACTGATTTTTTAAATCTTGTGATTAAGAACACCAGAATTTTAAAATGATATCTTATTATTAATAATAAGAAAACATTCCCGATTTAAACATTATGGACTTATGAAGATTCCGGGACAAGAAAATAAAAAATATGCATGTACGAAATCGTGATTCTGGGTGATTTTTTTTTTCATAATCTGCGACACATACACATCTTGGACTTGGAAAAAACTCAAGCATCCGGACTTCGATAAGTTATTAGTCCATATGTATACAAAATTCTTTGGCGCGGATCAACAAGTTGCGTGGCGCGGATTTTGCTTATTAAAAATCGGCATTTTTTGTAACAACCCTGTATTTTATACCGGTTGCTCCAGCATTCGCAACGAAGCACGTCTCCTCAATATTATGTTTGTGTTTCTGTTTCGAAATAATAAGAGTAAGTATGTCAACAATATAAAAATGCCGGAAGAAAAGAAATCTTGAGATGTTCACAGTTGAGTTTTTTCCCAAATGGTGTCATAATACCTAATTTGTAAGCAATTATCGAACCGTATTGACCTTCAGACAGCTGTTGTCAAATGCAATTCTGCAGATCGCATTCAGTAGAGATTACTTGCAGTTGCGTGGCAAATTCTGTGTTATCACTCTAACTCGGACTTGTATTACGTCCTGGCGTCCTCGTACCAATTTCTAACATAAATATTATTAGCTCTAGTTTAAATTTTTGGTTCCTATCCTTTTCTGTTGTTATTTTACTTTACGCACTAGATTTTGCTAGAAAACCAATCGAAAAAGTTGCAATTGATACATACCGATTAACATTGATTACTTACATTGAAATTTCCACCCAATCCCCTGTTTACCGTTGAAGTTTAATCTGAAATCAACTACTACTATATACCAACACAGGTACCGTTTCGTGGAGCTCTATTATCGTCGTTCAGAAACCTACCACAAGGGTCGTTTGATTCCAGCACGTATCGAAATGGTGGTTATCTTTCTGCCCGATGTACGTTCCTGCCAACCAACGCGTCCGGAGTGGGATGAGCTGCATCTTAGTTACAAGTCGCACTTGGAGCGTATTATTAATAGTCAGAATTCCGATAGTCCGGTTCCGGCCGATTCCTCGTCAGCAGGCGGCGAAGCCAGCGATGAAGCGGCCACTCAGCAAACTTCTCCCGATGGCGATAAAGTCGCTTCCTCTGAGGCTAAGACAACTGCAGCAGCTACTACTTCAACAGAAACAACGACTCCTACTACTACTACTACTTCATCTTCTACCGACAGCAGCGCTACGATCGATTCCGACAAGGCGGATGCCAAGGAATCAACCGATGAGAAACCTGAATCCACCAGTACCAAGAATGAACCATCCGACGAAAAAGCAGATGTAGCAGAAGACAATGAAAAGGCACATTCATTATTTTCCTTAAGCCCAAACATTAGGTTTCTTAGTTATTAAGCGGTACTAGAGTGATAATCTCAAAACATCTCTCTTAACCCAGTCAGAATGACTGCTAAAGATTTATTTTCAATCAAAAGACGAATGAATGCGAATTATCCGTGTACAGGCGATATGAGTGCGTGTGGTGGCGTGAACGTGTAGAATCTTTTTTGGACAATGGTTGCGAACTTGGTTTGCACGAACTGCCATTGTTTCGTAGACTCAGGCAATATTTAATGTTAATTTTGCTTCCTAACATGCGATTACAGGACGAAGCTAATGCCGACGATTCAGCTGTTGCAGAGAAACCCGAGGAACCGACAAACTATTCTCTGTTGGATGTGAAGAAAATGAAGGTGGCTGAGTTGAAGGCTGAACTCGAGGCCCGGAACCTTCCAACGGATGGTAAGTTTATGATAATTATGTAAAGCTCTCAGAGGCGGATTTCATCAAACAAATGTTTAAAACCTTCAAGAAAATATTGAATATTTTAATAACTTATCTATAAACTGGATGGCAAAAAACTGATTTTATCCACCTATGGCGAAATCTAACCCTTATTACTAATTTAAATTCTGACAGAAAGATAATTTCTGAATGATGTCATACTGCCGTTATACGCATAAAAGTCCCACGGTCCATAAGGATTACGTAGACCATAGGACAGTTATGCTTATATCGACAAAAAAAAATGTATCATACTACCCCGTTTGACATAATGGCAATTTGACGCTTAAGCAATTTGCAGGGCTGTTACAACAGGCGCGGATTTCGCGATTTTCGCGGATTTGAACTTTCAGTCGCGAAAATCGCGGAAACATTAAATGATGTCGCGAAAATCGCGAAAGGACTGATGAGCTGTCACAAAACTTGTGGTATTCATTGTAACCTTTCCGTCCCAGATTATTTTGCTATCATCACTTTTGTTGTTCATTTGGCTCTCAATTTTTTACAGGTTCAAACCAAACACCCTGCAAATAATCGAGAAATGATCTCAATTCCATAAGTCACATCGGATTTACACGGTAATTCCCTGAGGTCTGGCCAATGGTCTCCTTATTTTTTACAATATGAACATAGCATTTTTCGTTGTCAAATCATAAACAAATCGTATATATGTGAGTAATTGCCATGTATACCGGATATTCTAGGTTCTCCAAATTGTCCTGGAGTTCAGTTGATTTGTTCTACTATATTATCCAAGATTCAAATAATGTCTGTAGTATTGAAATATGTCCAAACAGATTCAAAGTGTCTATATGGATCGTGCACGACCTATTGCTACGCATACAAGATGTTATAGGTTCTGAAATCATTCTGGAGATCAGATTATTTTTCTACTAGATCACCGAAGACTAATTCAATATCTGTAGTATCGAAATATGCCCAAACAAATTTGCAGTGTCAATGTGGATCATGCCAACCTATTTCCGTGTATGCCACATGTTCTAGGATTTCCAAATCGATATTTCGATACTACAGATATTATCCTAGTTTTTGTTGATCTAGTATAACAAATCGTCTGAACTGCAGGACGACTTGGAGAACCTAGATCATCTGGTATACATGGAAATAATTAAACATTATCCATATAGACACTATGAATCTGTTTGGACATATTTCGATAATAAAGACATTGTCTCAATCTCGGTTGATGTAGTAGTAGATCAAATTCTGAACTCCAGGACGATTTGAAGAACCTTGAACATCTGGATTACTCGGAAATAGATCATGTATGATCCACATAGACACTTTGAATCTGATTGGACATTTTCCGATACTACAGACATTATTGCAGTCTTGGTTGATCTAGTAGAACAAATCAACTGATGTCCTGGACGATTTGGAAAATCTAGAATTTCCGGTATATATAGTAATAAGTCGTGCATGATCCACAAAGTCACATATATACGATTCGGTTATGATTTGACAACGAAAAGTGCTAGGTTCATATTAGAAATAAAAAAAATATCATGAAAATGTCTCACCATTGGACAGACTACAAGGAATATCAGTGTAAATACACAACCGCGACGTCACCAACAAGTGTGACTTATGAAACTCTGATAATTTTTCGATTATGTGCAAGGTGTTTGGTATGAATCGGTAAACAATTGAGAAAACTAGAGCCAAATTAACTACAACATTTAGCTCAGCAAAATACGTCAGAGACGCAAAGGTTAACTTTCAAGAAAATTTGCATTTCAAATGAAAATACATTAATTTTTGTTAAATGTTTCATAAAATCTAGGCCGGTATTAGTCAATAGAATCTCATAATGTAAGGGTGTTTTATTATGTTCACAAATTACTCTGAATTTATACTATACATAAATAACTGAAGATGATACAATGTTATTTAAAAAATGTCAAAAGTTACAAACGATACTCCTTTAGCTCAGTAAAGTCGCAGCTACAAAGCAAGTCCATGCTGGAGGCGACTGAGTTCGATTCCCGTCCGGCCTATTAATTTTTCGAGTTGGAAAATTTCTCTACTTTCTTGGGCATAGGATGGTACAGGCATAGAAAGTTCTCAATTAAAATGTGAAAGTACTTCAATGAACACTAAGTTAAGAGCAGGCAAAAATCCACTATGCTATAAGCAATAAGCTTGAAATGCCATGTAGTAGTATACAAATGCTATTTTTAGGCAATGAAAACAGTTTTTTTTGTCGCGGATTAGTATTTGAAGTCGCGGATTTGTTTTGAGGAATCGCGGATTTCGCGGATCTAATTAAGAAAATCTTGTAATAGCCCTGAATTTGAATTTTGTTGCATCAATAGCTTTCAAAATCTTACCGAGGAGCTTACCGCCCCACCGAAAAAAGTACGTTTTGACTTATCTAAAAATATTATTAAAGTATATGGGAAATGGTTCTAATGTTGGCCTATGGATCTAAGATTGGGCCCATGGCTAAAAATCTGCTATTTATCAATGTTATCTAGATGAACGCGTCATTGGTACTTATGGATATTTTTGATTGCTATTGAAAATTTAGTCGATTGCTGAGTTTATGTATGGGTCCAAATTATAACATTTAGGCCGACATTACATTCATTTCCCCTATCAAAATTAGGATTTTGTTTTGTATCCATCTTTAGAAAAACATCGGAACTTATAGCGAATTCATTTATTATCGGGTTTAACACCAGTTCCAACCCAGTGTGAAACCGAACTTTTTGTCAGTGTGAACCTGAGCTAGATTTTAAAAACAAACGAGCAAACTGAAGTTTGTCAGAAAACAAACAGACCCAATCTTGATACCCGATCCAGGTTGGAACTGAATCGGATGAATATGAACAAACTTTTTGATGAAAATCAAAATGGAGTGGAATGAAATGTTTATAAGATGCAATGCAGATGTAACCTGATGGTTGATTTAACAAGTTCAGAAAGAAATTTTTCAACTGCACGAATTATGAGCAGTTTTCTTCTCTTGCTATTTTAAATATTTAAAGAAAAAAATCTGTTAGAGGATATGGGAAAATCTTCAAGAAATTCAGGTGCTGTATTTTACTGTTACCATGGTCTTGCGAGCTATAACTAGAGCTGCTCCGAATAGCATGCTCAGTGTATTATTCGGTGAACCGAATAGTCGATCGAATACCTGAAAAGTTTAGTTAAAATATGCACTTGTTGAAAGTGATAAGGCAAGTTGAAATAATAGATTTATATATGAATATACCAAGGATCAAAATATTGTCTGTCCGCAATTCATCGTGCGGATTAAATTTTATTATATATGCATTCTTCGCAAACAAAGATTTTTATGTAAATATAACCGTTATGTGCTCGACAGGGTTCCAGCTCCCATTTGAATCACACGGTGTATAAAAAAGCAAAAATCTCGAGTAACACTTGAAATGGACCTATGTCCAAAACGTAAACAAATCGGGTTTTGATACCATTCTTTAGCACCGCTTGATAGCTACTAATCGTGTAGTAAAGTTCCACATAATCGAGAAAAATCATTAAAAATTCATTAATAGGGCCTATTAAGATAGAAGCAAAATTTATTCAAATGGGTCAAGTCTTCAAAACTAAGCTGTCACGCAGCTCCAGCTTGATACCAAAAAAAAAAATGTGATCGCATAACTTTTATGTGAAATGAAAGATGAATTCCATTAATTTTAATTATGTGCGTTTCCAATGGAGGCTACATGAAAACTATTTTCGGTGTATATTTCGGAGCAAGAGATCGAAAGGACTGTTAACTATAGTTACTATAGATTCCATAGATAAGCGGAGGTGAAGTAGAATGTAGCCAAACGAGCATGAAGTCATCATGGTGTTTTTTGCGGGCCAAGTATTGTAATATTGTGAGCAAAAATATTATTTATTTTCATTTGATTATAATCGAAGACAACATATCAAGAAGACTGGCAACTTTGCCTGAATCCTAGCGACAGTGTCAGTGTGTCAGTAGCGCTGTGCTCGAGCGAAGGTGGAAGCAACGCATAGAAAAATGAGCAAATAAACAAACCTTTCTTCATGATGTATATAATGAGTCACGCCAAGAGAAAAAATAGTTGAAATCGCATCACGGTTTTCGAAAGATTCCCTTTCTTTTCACTTGGCAACAGAGGACTTCTACATCAACTTCAAATGACTTCTTCTAGCGAGAAAAAAAAATAGCGGCCTGCAGTAAATCATTATATCAGTGATTTTGTCAAATTATCTTAACAAAAAATAGTAGAAATTCTCATTACTGATCATTACCAAACGTATCCCATGACAATTTAATGCTCACTGCGTATTTATGATCATTTCTTCGATTATATTTTATATTTTATTGCAATACCTTTCGTGGAACTTTCATAGCATCGCAATGTTTGTTTACTTTGCACGATAGGTAGCCAGTTTTACAGTTCAATAGGTAGACTTGGCTTCACTATTGGCGTGACTCATTATACACCGACTCTCTAGTTCGGAGCATTTGCCATTGTGCGTCATATTACGCGATTGTGTCGATGCATGGAACATGTATTTCCATTTTCACATAATCTTTACTTTATATTGCCGAATAGAGATTCCTAAATATATTCCACTCCCTATTAACACAAATGTTCCCTTCCGAGACATCTACGAAGGTAGTATTGGTTTCCTGCACCTTCTTAAGTAGACGTTGGACAATTTTCCTTCCTTTACTCTGCGATTGTAAGGATGTATCCAGGTGTATAAAGCGATGCTTTTTTCCCTTTCGTTTATTTGGCAGGCTCAAATGTTATAAAAATAAGCCGAGTAACATGTAATACCATTTTTGGTCCTCAAAATACAAAAAAAAATATTAAAATGCATTTTATCATAGGATTTTTCTGGGCGATCTTCTCCCATCCACGCAACTTCTTTCTTTCCCGAATTTAGTATTATTTATGTTATTTTTGAATCTGGAACAGATTTAGTAC